GCTCATAGTCATTCTATAATCAACCAGGACTCCGAGGTCCTTCTCCTCCTCCGTTACTTCCAACTGATGTGCCCCAGCTTATAACTAAAATTCTTGTTATTAATCCCTAAATGCATAACCTTACACTTCTCACTATTAAATTTCATCCTATTGCTATCATTCCAATTTACAAGGTCATCCAAGATCAGCAATAAAAAGATTAAATAAAATTGGCCCCAAAACTGATCCCTGAGGAACTCTGCTAGTAACCTTCCTCCAACCCAACAGTTCACCTTATAATATGACCCGCTGTAGTCTCCCCTTTAACCAGTTGCTTATCCACCTCTCAACTTTCTTATTAATCCCTATCTTTTCCAATTTAACCAATAATTCCCCATGCCAAGATCAGCAATAAAAAGATTAAATAAAATTGGCCCCAAAACTGATCCCTGAGGAACTCTGCTAGTAACCTTCCTCCAACCCAACAGTTCACCTTATAATATGACCCGCTGTAGTCTCCCCTTTAACCAGTTGCTTATCCACCTCTCAACTTTCTTATTAATCCCTATCTTTTCCAATTTAACCAATAATTCCCCATGTGGTACTGTATCAAATGCCTTACTAAAGTCGAGGTAGATTAGATCCACTGCATTTCTTTTATCTAAAAAATCTGTTACTTTCTCAAAAAAGGAGATCAGGTTGGTTTGGCACGATCTACCTTTTGTAAAACCATGTTGTAATTTGTCCCAATTGCCATTAGCCTCAATGTCTCTAACTACTTTCTCCTTCAAAATTTTTTCCAGGAAAACCTCTCTTCAGGAAGTTGAAGTCTGCTTTTAAATCCCCCCTCACTCCTCTCTTCTGCAGATGAAATAAGCCCAAATCCCTCAGCCTGTCTTCGTAGGTCATGTGCTCCAGCCCCCCTTTCTGTGGTGGGGGGCCTGGAACTGGACACACTACTCCAGATGTGGCCTCACCAATGCAAAATATAAGGGAATAATAACTGTTCTAGATCTGCTGGCAATGCTCCTGCTAATGCATCCTAATATGCTATTCGCCTTCTTGGCTACAAGGGCACCCTGTTGACTCATATCCAGCTTTTCATCCACTGTAACCCCCAGGTCCTTTTCTGCTGAACTGCTACTTAGCCAGTTGGTCCCCAGCCTGTGACAGCACTTTGAAGTTATGAATGATATAGCCAAACTCCCCTCTCCAGGGACTTCAAGGATCAGATTTTTAAAAATGGACTATGGACTGAACTCTCTCAATTTTGTTTTTGAGTATCTACTTAGTGTAGACCAGATAGTTTGATCTCAGTCCCCTGGAAAATCATGGGAAGGCTGATACCCAGTGTCATCAGTAAAGAATTAAACAAAGGCTGTATAATGATGAAATTGACTAAAAACTGGTTAATTAACAGATGTAGAAAAGTAATTGTAAATGGGGAATCATCATGTTTCTGTTATAATCATTCTGAGATCTGGTTTTGGCCCAGTATTATTCAGTTAATGAGCTAGAGTTACTATTCATAGAGATTCTGTGGAACAGTTTGCTTCATTTAAGATTTTTTTCATTTGATTTTAATCTTTCTTTCACATACTGCAACTCCCCTACCAGCATGATCTACTCTGTTCTTCCAATATATTTTGTACTCTGCTGTGTTCTATTGATTATCCTCATTCCACCAAGTTTATGGTGCTTTAAATATCAATATTCTCACTGAATCTGAGGCACTTCAGTTCTCGTATCTAATTCTTTAGACTTCTAGCATTTGTATATAACAGTATTTCTAAACCAGTGGTATGAGTACCCTTAGGGGTACTTGAGAGAAGTCTGGGGGGTACATCAACACAACTGAAATTTGGAGAAAACTGAATTTTTGTTTTAAGTTTTACAGCGCCTTATTATTTTTGTACTTTTTACACCCAAAAATTTCATTGCCTGCCTGGCTGTGATTCAGTTGTTTAAACCAATGTGTTGCAATGGTACAAAAAAATTGTGTTTCTGAAAACTGTAGGTATGGGGCTACACACACACACACACACACTCTCACTCTCACTCTCACTCTCACTCTCACTCTCTCTCTCTCTCTCTCTCTCTCTGTCTCTGTCTCTGTCTCTGTCTCTGTCTCTGTCTCTCTCTCTCTCTCTCTCTCTCTCTCTCTCTCTCTGATAGTCCGGCACCACCTGGAACCCAGAAGTGCTCCAGGCAGCTAGACAATTGGAGCTGCTCTGTCCCTGACTTCCCCGAGTCAGCCGCTGGTCAGTTTCAGCAGCAGCTGACGTGGGGGATGCTG